GTTATATTAAAACAGCAGATATAACTTTCATCTTTTTGGGGGGATTTTTTGCTTTTATTGGATAGAGAAGGATATGACATTACACAAAGGTCCACAGCCAAAATCGATACAGGGACATGGGAAGTATATTGTACACATCTTAGACAACGAGGCCACCAAAGCCCCTTAAAAATAAATACATTTTGTTTTAAACTGATGCCTGGATGCCTGAACACTAACTGTCCAACAGCAGGAAACTTTAACTTAGTATAAAGCAGAAGCAGCTAACCTCCTTGAAATCTTTTGTTGCATCTTTCACACTCAAAGATGATAACTCTATGTTGGAAATTTCAGGTTTGAGATTTTTCTTAAATGAAATGATGCATTTTTTATCTGATGACAATGTAAACCATGATTTAAGTAATACGTAAAAGTAATAAATTATGCAGTAAAGTCTCGCTCCCCTGGTTGTACTTCAACCTAGATGACAACCTGAGGACACGTCAGTAAAGTAAACCCGGATTGATGCCATGTCTCCACTGACAAGGTCAGTAAACCTTCAAGCACTGACTTGTTCCCCCCTCGTGTTACATTTACACTGCTTTTAACACTGCAGCTACGTGTCATTGCTGCAAAGACTAGAAAATCAATTTGTGCAAGCAGCTGTTGAGAAAGCAACACTCTGTGCATTCCTCTTGTGGACACTCATATCAAATGGCAGGTTTTCAAGGTTAGTAAAAAACAAACTGTAGGAAAACAAGGAATTTTCAGTTTTCCCACCTCTGGATACTTTAAAGCTGAATAAAAACTGGTTACATTAGGAGAGGGACATTGTTTTTCAACAAAACAAACCACATACCACATATCAATATAACCCCTGTAAATTTGAGCCAATAGATTCATAAAGTTTACTGCAGCAGAATGACTTTGCTGTTGCTTTATTGTCAGTTGTGTTCCAGGTGAAAGCCAGTGGAAATCAACATTTATTAGTTAGTTTTAACACCCACTAGGGTTGGGTGATTGAACGACTACTAATAATCGGCTATTCATGGCCAATCTATCGCTGTTTTTTTGGGTTGATTTTTGTCTTTTGTTTTAACTAATTTAATGGTCTGCCTCCAAAGAAAGAGAGCCGCTCAGTGACAGACGTTAAGCGGTGCATTTCACACACTGAGCTAAGAACGAGGGAGTGGTAAAACAGCTGTAGAGTCTGTGTATTTTCACATCTAACTGCTGTGAATTAAGATTTTATTTCGACTAGTTCGACTACAGGGAATACAGTTACAAGGTGAATCGCAGATGCTCCAAACAAGATTTTAACTCCGAGGAAGATGAGGACAGAGGGAGGTCGAGGAGCAGAGAGGCAGAAACAGCGCGTAAAGCCAGAATATTTTCACATCAAACTCTGTTACACAGTTAGACACCAGAGTTGTGTATTGGTAGAACATTGCAAAGACTAATAAACTCTGTTGAATTTGAATGATGTTTGTTTTAAGATAATTTAACAAGGTCTTAGTTTGGTATATATTTTGGTATTTGCTGCAAACGTCATGAGCTGCACATTATTCTTTAACCATCTAATCACCAACAGTCTTGGAGTGCAATTCACTTATACATCACGTCGTAAATATGAATAGCTGTACACATACATTTGTTATTCATTCCATTGTTTGATTACTTCAGTGCTCATGTTCCTTATTTTCATTTTATCTTGTATATTATTTTTGTTTTTGTAAAGCACTTTGTAACATTGTTACCAAAAGTGCTATATAAATAAAGTTTATTATTGTTATTATTATTATTTGTTTTTATTACATTACTTGTGATCAACTAGTGAGTTGACAACTTTGCTAACACGGCCAAACATTGAGCAAGTGCAGCAACACAAGACATAGCAAGGCTAATATTACTTACTAGTGCAACAGCAAGAAGGCCAGCTCAGGCATTTGTCTTGCAGCCTTTTATATTCCGAAGCTCACGGCAACAAGATTTACTGTGCTTACTGGTGTAAACACAAACACTCCCCTTTAAGCTTTGCTTTGAGCTCCCAATCCTGGCAGCACAGCTAACTGAGCTAACTATTTGCTGGCAGCTAAGTTACAGTTAGCAACAGTTAGCAGTTAACTCATTTTAAGTAAAGCTTCCATCAGGAAACTCAATAAATCACCAAGGGTTGAGGCAGAGCAGCGGGAGGACACCAGAGGTAAACCAGAAAATAATATATGATCAAGTTTTCAGTTGATAATGTGGGATGTAGTGCCATAAAGTGTTACACACTGCTCCAACCTGGCAACCTGACCTGTTCGTACAAGGCGCAGAGTGGGAATGGCACCATTCTCCTCATTACAAGTCAGTGTAACAAAATTACTATTTTAAGGTAAAATAGTTGCAGAATGTTGCTTTAAAGGACCAGTGTGTAACTTTTAGGAGGATTTATTTGCAGAAATGAAATATAATATTCACAGGTACGATTTCATTATCACCTGAAAATAAGAATGGTTATGTTTTTGTCACCTTAGAATGAGCCGTTTTTATTTACAGACACTGCTGGTCACCTTCCATGGAGTCCATGTTGAACCGCCCTGTTTCTACAGTAGCTCAGAAGGGACAAACCAAACACTGGCTCTACATAGGGGCAGGGAGTTGCGATCTGCAACTACACCGCTGGATGCCACTAAATCCTACACAATGAGCCTTTAAGTGATTGTGAATGCAGCTCTATACCTGGATGACAAACTAGCCAGCACACTAAAAGGTCTAATACCCCCATACAAACACATTTTCAAGGCTTTTTGCACTGACAAATTGCTGTCAAGAGACTTTCGGGATAACAGTTTGGGATTGGACATCTGCATGACTACCCTCAGCAACAGAGTGGCCATTATATCCGCCAGTGGCAGTGCTCTAATTGCATTTCAATGTGAGTTATCTCCATTTTAAGTATCTCTAAGTCCATTTCATCTGAGCTGCGCTGCATGTAATCAGCTGACAGCGAAAGGACAGAGGAAATGTTTTGTTTAACATGTAAATTTTTTCAAGAACAGATTTTCCTGTACCTACTGCAGGCCCTTGCAGCTGCAAGGTAAAAATATAACAATGAAAACAAGAACCTCTACTACGACTGAATGACTAATATTAGTTCAAGCATTAGTCACTTAGCGAGATCTACAGTGGCTACAGGTACTGAACAAATGGATCTCACAATTGCACATACTGCATTCCCACCTTCATGTCCCTTATTTCATTCAGCATTCAGAAATTATCTACATTGTTATTTAGTTACATATACATGTTTGCTCACATCTTAGCATGCCTCAGTTGCAGTAGGATGTAGGATGATAATTTCATCCTACAGGGGTGTAATACTGGATCACAAATCTGGTATCTATTGTAAGCCATTTATTAAATGTTTATGCCTCTTGTAAATGCTATGTGTTGATACTAAACAGTACATAATAAATACATAAATACAAATAATGCTATATATCTTGCATCAGATTTGCTGCAGATATATTAACATATCCATCTATCACCTAAAAAGACAGTTGATTAGAGATGAATGTCTATTGCAGCAGCAGTGATGTGAGGACAGGGAGAAATTCAAGTGGGCTGTAACAATTATGAATTATTTTCTGTTTTATACTGTAAGAGGCTCTCCTTCACAGTAGCACATCAGAAAAAGTTCTCTAGAGATCAGTTGCATCACTGCTTTTGTCTGTAAGAAACTGCATGAAAAGCTATTTTTTTTTTTATACTAACATCAAAGCAGTCCATGAGGTAGAAGATATGTCAGCATTATATGTTAAATCATAGCACCACACAATCGAATTATCATAGTAAGATATAAAGTTGAAATGTGTTTGCAGGAAACAATTGAAGCTACCGCAGCATTTAGTGTTTTTTTTAGCTAATATATGCTGACTATGATCAAAATCTCCTTTTCTGATGAAAGAGCTGCTCTCTTCCCTGTGGCACAAAGTCAACATCACTGATGAAGCTGCAGACTCATCTGACTTCAGTGGACGCCTCAGGCAAGGACTGGTATTATTAGATTACCTGTGATGAAGTGACTTAGATGTTATTGCCAACTGCCAGGTTGTTATGAGGTGTGTATATGGTTCATCCATGTGCTTGCACTTGTGAATATGTGCGTAAACTTAATAATGCATTACATTTGCATTGTGAATATGTTGTCTGCTTGGAAATACACAATTACCATCCATGACAGCTCTACTTCCTTGGAAATTTCATGCTACCCTTGTCTTCACAGGTCTAATTCGCCGTCCCCCTGCAACAACCTTGGTCTAATTGCATTTACCTGTTGAAGCAAATCCCATTTGGGAAATTCAATACACATTCTGAATTAATCGTCTTCACTCCATTATGGTTTAAGAATGATGGCAGCTCTGTTTTACTATCCATATTGAGGTCATAAAAATACATAAAGGCAAAGGCAAATCAATTAAGATAATTTTTCAAGCTGACGGGTGATCTGCTCTGGCATTTTTACCTTTCCCCAAAATGTGTGCTAATGCTGGAATAGCAGGCACATAATAAGTAAGTAAATATGGATAAAGGCTAATGCTGTATATTTTAAGAGGTCACAGTTTTACATTTGTAGACACAGTTAATGAAGATTCTCCAAAAGGTCAGCCTGTGTTTAACAAGATAGTCTTTAAAACGGTCAAACCAGTGAGGCTTACTGTCAAAGCACAAAGGATTACAAAGCAGGTGAAAAGATTAGATATAAATATATGGAAGGAAATGAGAATGTACATTTTCCTAAAAAAATAAATGATTGTTTATATTTTGTTTAAGGACATGCAGCAGAATGTAATATATATGTATTAAATATGTAAGAAAATAAACTAACAGTATCATAAGTATGCTTTAAAATAATTGAACAGCATCATAAATGTCTTCTGTGTTTCTGATTTTTCCAGATACTCATCGTCATTTCTTCTCACTATAGGAAGTGACATCACATGTTGACAGCGTGGTTCAGGCACGCCTCCCTGGAAATAGGGAGAGGGGAGAGGGCATGAGATAAACCGTGGTAGATTCAGAGGCAGACATTGGATTGGCATGGCTGTGTGCAGCTCAGCAGCACTGCGATCTACATGCATGAGGCTTCTGCCTGGACATTTGGATTCTCTCTGCACAGCAACACAGCGTTGTTGATGTTGCAGGGCATTGGGAGATAGAGAGGGAATAATAAGGGGGGACAGCCTTACAACACACTTGAGCGATGTACCGTGAGCTTCTCTCTCTCTTGTTTCACACCGTCAGGCTTTTCAACACGGAGACCTGGGACTAATGGAGGGATGCAATTATGTTACTCTTTGCTTGTCATGCTTGAATCACAGCTTCATATATCCTTTTGTGTCAGAGACCTTATTGTCTTTGTCTGTCACCGCCGCCAGATCAACTGTGGGGTAGCGTGGCGGACAGAGCCCCCTCCTCAACCCCCCTCTCCCTTGTCTGTGCCCCCGGCTTCTCATCACTCCCAGCTCGCTCGTGTCTATTTACCTCTCTTAAGCTACCCTCCCCTCTCTGTTAAGCTCCGTCTTTCTTGCTCTCCCGCTCCCTACTGCTTACTATCTCCCTCTCTTTGCTCCTACAAAGCAGGCAGTCTGTTGTTCTATGCAAGCAGCTTGCTACATGATCTACTGGAAAACAGTTTTTGCCGCTCCTCTGCCACCTCACAATTCCTGAGCCCTTCCAGATTTCCATCTCTACAACGGCAGGATGTTCCTTCACGAGGATTGATCCCCATTCACCCCCTTTCACTTTCCCCTTTCCCTCCCTTGTCCTGATCTCCTGCCCTCTGACCCTCACCCTCTTGTTCTCTACCCCCACCCACCCTCTCCTATTCGCCCTTACCCCAAGCCTCTTTCCCCCATAATTCATTTCACCCTCTTGACCATGTTGCCATGTGTCTGCTGGCTCCAACTTATCCTCATCTTGCTGCCCTCTGTCTTATGGACCCGGGGGGAAAACTGCCCAGCAACCTGCCTGTGCCCAGATCCTCACACTGTGGACTGCAGCGGCCGTGGGCTGACCCGTCTACCCGATGAGATCCCCCTGGATGTGCGCAGACTTTTACTGGCTGACAACTGGATACCCCGCATCCCCTCAGACTTCCTGGTTCTGTACAGTGACTTGGTTTACCTGGACCTCCGGAACAACTCCCTCTCCCACATAGAACCCGGGACTCTCAGCACCACTTCCAGGCTGGTCTTTCTGGACCTGGGCAGCAACAATCTGACTGAAATCCCTAAGGGGACATTTGGGGAGTCCCGGAGCCTGATCAAACTACGCCTGGGCAACAACCCATATCTGAGCATGGTGAATGAGGAGGCTTTCCTGGGCCTCACCTCTCTGAGAGAACTGGAACTGGAACGTAATGCACTTTCTACCCTTAAGGTGGGGGCACTCAGTCAGTTGCCCTCCCTGCGGGTGGTGAGGCTAGAGGGCAACCCCTGGGTGTGCAACTGCAACTTTGCCAGCCTGTTTGCATGGCTGATGGAGAACAGTCACAAGCTTCCTAACGGTAAGTGGCAGGTTCAGAACCATTTGCTTTCCATGTGCTTGACCCAAATAAAACATATCTGAGCACAACATACAACAGTATCATTGCAAATCCATTGCCATAACACTGCTTCAGTCTATTTATGTTTTCCCTGTAGGAGAGGGAACCCCCTCCCTCTCCCTTGTTCTAATTTTATCTCTTTCTTCTTCCACTCCCATAGAATATAATGTGTGAGACTGAGTATGTAATATGAGACAATAGCTCTTGTTTTGAAGTGAAAACTACAAGGATGCTTCGTTTTGGAATTTTGATTAATTAAAATATTTAAAATAAGACACCTACTCAAAATGCAGTGTTGTCCAATGTGAAAAAGAAATAAGACAACTCGTACTAAGATTTTTAGCTTGCAGGTTCTCTGGTTCCACATGCTTATAAACTGAGCAATGACCTCTATCCTGCGTGGTAGTGAAATCGATCAATTTGCAGCTTATATTTATATAATACTTATTTATATAATACTTGCCATTTGGTGGACACTATAATTCAGCAATATTATCAATGATTTGTATCATTAACACCAATAAAAAAACCAACCTCCTTTTCTGATTCCTGTGTTTATCGCTCTATCCATTTTAAGGCCCATACTAAAGAGTCTGTCTACCACTGTGATTCAGCCTGGAGGATTGAGTTAGATAACAGAGCTGAAGTTTTGGTGTGTTTGAGTGTGCAAGGATGTGATTGAATGTGTGCTTGCATATCTGAAGAACATCACAAGACACAGGATCACCACGAACCTTTAAAGGCATTTTACCGTGAGGAAGATCTGCTTACAAGGGCTTTTTGGTCTCAGTAATCAAACATCTACTGGATTCAAGGGAGTTGCGATATCCGCCCTCTGTAAAACACAAACCATCACAATTGTTCAAATCTGTGTTAATAAAGTGGACTGTATGGGATATCTACAACAACATCTGTCAGAAGTAATTTATTCCTCAACAAATCATAATGTTTTATTCTGAGGGAACCATAAATGTTTTACTCAAGGTCAGCCATATGTATATTACTACTAATGTCCTTACGAAGGACTCAGACAGCAGTTATCTCGTAAGTACAAGCCAGCACGTGGGAGCAGAGGAGGCAAAAATAAACAGATCAGCCACACATGACTAGTAACTCGTGCTGTTATCATATTCAGATCAGAGTGTAGATTTCACGCATTACACGATTTTGTCTTAATCTGAGAATTTAATATGAACGTGGCTCGGGGTGTTGTGACATGTGCCCGAGGCTGTACAAGGTGTATTTTATAAAACATAATTCATTTTTTAAATACAGTACATAATGTTCAGGTACAGGGTGTTATGTATAAAGGTGTGCAGATAAGGTGTTGGAACATTTATTTCTGTCACTGTTCCAAGGTTGTGAAGCGTTGACCTATGTATACAAAAAGATATACAAAGGATGAATAGCAATGGCCCAAATATTCTGATTCAAGATATGTTTGTTTTATAGATAGATAGAGAAATGACTGTGGACCAGATATAAAACCCAGAATTCAAGCAAAGCTGATAGCCAACCTAACCTCATGAAAGTTGTTCGACATCAAAGCCTCTGATGTGTATATTGTAATATGTCATATATGCAAAAGATCATTTTTCTACTTACAAAGTCCCAGTTGGGATCTGGCAGGCAAAAGCTTTAACTCAGCTCCCCTAAAAACTGTCTGGCTTTTTAAAACTGCTGACAACTCACAAAAGCAAACTTATATACATTCAGGCCATGGTGTACCCTGCTATTGATACTTCTGCTTTTCTCTCTGGTCTGTCTACATTTGCCCCAGAAACAGACAAGTTTGGGCCTGTGAGGAAGCAAAGTTGATAAACTGGCAAGAATACCTAATTCCCCTTAGTAGGAAGCTACGAATGCATTAATCACAAGTTCTAAGTGTTGTCAACTGCAAGGCCTAATGAATTGCATTAGTAGTGCTGGCCAGGCAGACATCAACAACAAAGAAGAAGCCAAAGACCTGGCCAAGCTGCTGGCATGGCTGCCAACTGGCCCCATTGCATATGCACACTCAAATTGAGTTAGTAATGCGTATCTCACCTCATATGCAGCTCTTACATCTCCATCAGTGAGTGTTTGCTTTATGACCCCAGAGACGAGTCCACTGACTTGGACAGAACACATACACATACATGATTATTTGTGTGGGATATCTAAAGTGGTCTACATTTGGTGTTTTGTATTATTTTTTAACATTGTCTTTGGCCAATAAAATGTGTCTGGAATGTACTTTGTAATGCTAATAATGCTGGAGGATTGGATGACAAATAACATTTTAGCAAAAGGAATAATTGGGCTCTTCTCATGTAAGACAATGCAAATTAGTTCTGTAACAGGTCAGAGAGGACAAAAAGATGTTTCAATGAACTGAAAATATCCTCTTCCTTTCAGTATAATTTACAGAAGAGTTTACTTTGTTTTTCTTACTGCGGGATATAGTACATGTGTCTTTATGCTTATATTTGTAACGTGTTAATCCATTTTAAAAGAGCAATCCGTCACAACAAGAACTTTATACTAACCTGAACTAAATGTAATGAGTTTTAGACCAGCTTATCAAAAAGAAAGTTGTAACCACATGTTTGAACTACCTTTTTTTTTTAACAAATATTTCCCGTAGACAGTCCACTACTATGAACTTGCATTGAGTACTACTGTGTACCAGTGTACTGTGTAGTGTTGTAGAGATTACAGTTGAACAAACACAAAGTAGCAGGGAGGATTATAGAGAGTTGGATTTACAAACATGCAGTTCACACATGCATGCATCATACTGCCGATCCTAATGACTGAGCTCTTGATCATGGAAAAATATGATGACCTATTCCCTGGAACGCTATGCTGGAAGTGGTTGCACAATAACAGATGGACACTCATTAGTGAATGAGGTTGATTTGATAAGCTTTACAATATGTATCAACTCGAACAACCATCATCAGTGTGGGTGTTTTCACTTAATATCTCATTCATCATTGAGAAAATCAATTACAGAGACAGAAATTACTTTTTAAATTGTACATCAGTGTGTTTTTTCCATCCGTGTTGGTGTTGCATACTCATGTCTGTTTCATCATACAACAAATCAGTTACAGACTCAGAAAATTGCTATTTAAAATGTATGTGTCGTGGCCTTTTACACTATATACTAATTCTAATACTTTTTCAGTATACAGTGTGTCCAAACTGACACTCAAAGTTGTCAGTAAATAATCTGCTTGAGTTTTGAGTGTTAAAAAGTAAGCAAAAGTTGTGAATAATGGCTCCAGAAACAATTTAGAAAACAAATACTAAGTAAAAGTATTAAATGGCAGTAGTTTCTGATGTCAGTTGGCCTACATCTTTTATCATTTTCCGTTAGCACAAAATATTACATTAATTTCCTCTATATTATCTGCAAGACAGGTTTATTAAGAAAAGTATAAGTGTATATGTATGATAGAGGTATGTTTGCTCTTTCAAGCGTTGGGTTTTACTTCTGGACAAAGTAAACGACAAAGTATAGGTGTTGGGAATCAGCTAATCAGCTAAAACGAGGTGTGCCTGCAGATTCCTCAGAAGCATTAATTAGGCTGATGACATCACAGGCCTAGAGTTTTGATTCACTGACTAAACGTCAATGCGTATTAGTATTAAGCAGTCATGACTTTCATAAAACTGTAAAAGAAAATGGCACTTAATGTAAATTAGAAAAAGTCAATAAAATATGACAAAACTGCGCTGCTATTTTAGAAGTCATCCTGAGATATCCGTGGTTCCCTCTGTGATGGCCTGCATAATCTAGCAGCTGCGGAGCCCATGCTGTAAACCCAATTCCCATTCCATTTTCCACATCTTGATTTCCCCTGTGATTTCAAGTTCACAAAGCAGCACACTTTTCTGTTTGCATAACTTTGATTACTGCAGGTCAGCATGATGAGTGGGTGGAAGATGCTTAAAAATTTAAAGTGGGGTTAGGAGAGAAAAAAACAGATCTCTTTCCACATGGCTGTGTTTTGTGTCCTACATGTTGCTAAATATTCATTTTGAGCTGCAAGCGATCAGACAGACACACTTATAGCAGTCTGCATTCTTCTGCTTTTCTTTTTTGTTACCATTTATGGTTTTTTAGACACCAATCAGGTTCATAAATGTTTTAATGGAGGGATGAGTGTAAACATGATCCACTGCTGTCTCCAGTGCTCTTGGGTTAAGGATGAACAAAGACCATATATAATTCAGAGTGACACAGTTCTACGGCACATTGGCCAGGGTAATTGGAGCCAGAGCTGCCTACAGGGCAGGGCAAGCCAACTCCCATGAGAGATAGAGGCTGAAGCCCATCGTGGCATTGCTATCAACACTAGACATGACCTGAACAGTTTCACTACAAAGTACCAGTTCATGTGACAGGGTCGAAGTCTGAATTTTCCTTCGCAGCCTATCGTGTTGCTCCCCAGAGACCTGTTATCACACTGCACAAGCAGGTCTGAAAATGTGATGCCATTGACCAGCGCTACAAAGCACACACATGATTCCATACTGCCCCACACGACACTACTTACTATCTTTACTATGTGATGAAAAAATATCTATTCCATTAACACAGGCTGACAGCTTCTTTTATCTTGGCCTAATTTAATGTTTATTTAAAGTTGAGATGTGTGAGACAGCGAGCACTGGCAAGAGAGAGCCGAGTGTGAAAAGGTGGACAGAATTACACAGTGGGATGACATCAGCTGCTGCATGTACAGAAGCAGAAAGGGATAATCTGCCGGTGTCAGAAATAAAAGGTGAAAAGCCGAAAGCATTATTTCACTGGCAGTGTGCAGCGTCGTGCATGATGGATACTTTCCTTTCTGCCTGTGTCTGCCTGTGTCTGCCTGTGTGCGGTCGTGTGTGAAGCATGAATTGCCTGCATGACTGTTTAGAATTATAATGAATTGTGACCGTGGACAAACTGCTTTTTATTGTAATGG